ACAGCTTCACGCCGGACAATAGGTCTGTTCTCGAGATGCGGTCGCAAAGCGTCCCTGCAAGACTGGATGCTGCGTCATGAATGAATGAAAAGGGCTTTAGGGTTTAGGGCTTTAGGGTTTAGGGCTTTAAGGTTTAGGGTTTAGGGTTTATTATAAGTGGGTTGACAGCGACAGCGACAACGACAACCACAACGACAACAACATAACAACGATCAGAACAATAGGAACCATAGGACTGATAGGAATAGCCGCGCTAACAATACTAATAATAGTGATAACGATAAGAACACTGACACTAATGATAACAGAAGTAATAGTATCATCGATAGCAATACCGGCAAATAGTTATGATAGCAACAAGAATCACAAGAATCACAAGCATAATGCTAAAGCCCTGTTGCTGCGATATTCGCGCGATACAAACCTTCCAGGTAGCCCGTGGACCTCGGACACGCTGACTTGCTCGTTCTCCATGGGCAAAGGCTTGGCTGCCCTAGGGTTGGCGTTGCTTCACAGCCGCGGCCACCTAAACTATGACGAGAAGGTCGGGTTTAGGGTTTCGGGTCTAGGGTTTAGGATACACGGTTTAGGGTTTAGGGTTTAGGAGATAGGGTTTAGGAGGGTACGGTAGGGTTGTGTCCGGGGATTCGGAGTGTCGGCTTGGAGGCGAAATGTTCAGCTTGGTTGAGTGTGGCATGGTGGTGCTTCAGCACGCCACCGAAAGCCCCGTCCTTGCATCCCAGAGCGCGAAACCTTGAAACTTTAATCCTAACCCCAATCCTAGACTCTCAACCTTAAACCCTAATCACTAAGCTCTGCGGTTTTCTAGACTTTCAGGTGAGTACGTATTGGCCCGAGTTCGGCTGCAACGGCAAAGACGCGGTGACAGTTCGCGAGCTCCTGGGCCATCAAACCGGGGCCTGCAACGTCGAGGACTCCGCTGTTCAGGGTTTAGGGTTCAGCTTTTTTCTGTTGGTTTTAAAACGGGTTTTATCAGGGTTTTTTTCGGGTTCTATAAGGGGCCTGCGATGTCGAGGAATCCAGTGTAAGCTTTGATTCGGCTTTCCGTTTTTTATTCTATAAGGGTTTTTTCGGGCTCTACAAGGGGTTTGCAAGGGCTAGGCTTGAAGCTTCAGGGCTTTGGCTTGGGTGTAAGCTTCGGAGTTGAAGTTTCTGTTCCGGTAATATCGGGACGCATGATACGATAAGTATCATAGGGAACCTCCCAAAACCCTATTCTATTCCAGGCAAAGGAGGTTTCGGATTCTAAGGGCGCCGGGCCGGGAGCAGGAGTGATAGGCAAGCTCGAATCCCAAAGCCCTAAACCCTAAACCCTAATCCCTAAACCCTAATCCCTAGACCCTAAACCCTGAACCCTAAACCCTAAACCCTAAACCCTGAACCACGATTTAGGGATTAGGGTTTAGGGTTGAGGGTTTAGGGTTGAGGGTTTAGGGTTTAGGGAGCATAAGGCATCAGGACTATTTCGGTGTTCGAGGCCCCCGAAACCCACTGCTTTCCTGTTCAGGGATCCAGTTTTCTGCGGGCACTCTACAAAACTGTGCCTAGATAAGGCTTCAAGTTCGGGAAGCCTGCAGTCCCAAGACCACGCGCGGATCCCAATGGCAAACTTCCGTCAACGAGCATGAAACCTCTTACAGTAAACTTTAAACCCTGGGTTTAGGGTTCAAATTCCCGAAACCCGGTAAACTGATGACCGTGAACTCCTTGTAAGACACGGGGCCGAAGATATGTCAACAAAGTTTGAGCAACGCTAGAACAAGTACCCCCCAAACCCTAAACCCTAAACCCTAAGCCCTAAACCCTAAAGCCTAAACCCTAAACCCTAAACCCCCCCCCCCCAGATGGAAGAAGCGACAGAGATGGGACTCCGAAATCCGAGTCCTGAAATCACCCGTTCTGTTTCCACGTTAAATTTTGATGTATTTCAACTTTCTCATTTTAACATCGCTTATATATATATATATATATGTTTAATTTTGATATATTTCCATTTATCAGATTAAAATCGTTTATATACCTTCGCGATGTCCGCATCTTGCAAGAGAGGCCGCGGTCTTAAGCCTCCACCTCCTTAAATCCCTGTAAGCCTTACCGCCAGGAGAAGCTGACGGAAGAAATACTCCGAAATCCTTCGCAGCTGGCGGCAGCACTGGCGAAGACCAAGATGCTGGGCTGTGATTCTTTGAGTGTGGGGTTTAGGGTTTTTGGGGTTCAGGGAGGTTTAGGGTTTGGGGGTTTTGGGGTTTGGGGTTCAGGTCTTCGGCAGGTTTGCTCTTAGGGCTTTTTTTGTGAGAGGTTTCCCGTAAGAGCTGGGAAGCCCGAAACCCTAAACCCGCGCACCAGAAGGGATATTCGTCTAGAGGGTGTCGGGTTTGGGGTTGTGCCGCGGCAGGGACTTACTGCAGGCACATGGGGCCTTCTCAGCACTTCTTTGCAATACTTCTATGCGCCACAGCCGCATCAGAAGAAAGAAGCAGCATGGAAAAGCACCCGAATACCAGCACCCATACCAGCACCCCAAAGCCAAAACCCTATGTGACCAGGTTGCCATGCAGCGGAGCAAACCAAAACTAGCACTATGCCAGCAGCCTCCACCCGAAGCCCTGAACCCTTGACCCTTGACTCTCTGCCCCGAATCGTCCCAAGAGCCGGACATTTCGGGCTCGGACCGGGAAGTGACGTTCAGGGTTTAGGGTTTGGGGTTTAGGGTTTAGTTTAGGGTGTATCCCCTTATAGTCCCGTATTGGGGCCCGATCTAGACCTCGTGAAGCTCACTGCTCTAGCGAAGCCACAGTTCCTTGATGAGTTCTCTGCTGCGCCTAGGATGGAGTTTGGGCCTTCGGATGGCCAGAATGGATACATGGCCCTCACCATTGGCTGGTATATGGATATCTTATGCAGAAAGGTGGGGGGACTTGATCCACTGTAGGGTTCAGCATCGAAAGTAGAAAGCTCCGTCTCGGATCCTCCGAGGTCGATCCTCAGCAGAGGGGAATTGATCAGCTGCTCCGCGAGGAGATCACTTCCAAGCTGGGGCCCTAACATTACGGTAATATAGGGGCCTTAATAATTAGAATAGGGTTTGGGGCTATATTCTACTATAATTCTAACAAGGAGCCCGGAAAACCTTACTCGAATTATTAAGGCCCCGACATTACCATTATAGATCCCTTCGAGTAGCCCGTGTAGGCCCCCTTTTAAAGGGACTCCCGAGGCTGGGCCTGGCAAGCGAAGTCTACTGCGGCCTGCCAAGCCCTTCCGAGCTCGACCGAGATCGCATCGCCTCCCTGAATTGCTTCTCGACCTTTGACTTGGTTTTGAGGGGGAAGTTCTCATCTGAATTTGTTTGGAACATGGCTTTCACGCCTAGTTCCTATGCAGCCAGAGCCTTCAAGAATCCGAACTTTTTGGGGAAGCTGAAGAGCTATGCCACCGAGCGGGTGAGGACGCTCTGCATCCCCGGTGCGAATTTCATCACCTCGGCACGGGGAGCTGCGGGTCTCTATGATGCAATCCTGTCTGGAACTGGCAGCGTGGGCTTCAAACCCGAGACGCTGCGTGTCCTCTCTGAGCCCGCGGAGGAGCGATTCGACGTGGTTGTACGACAGCCGACAGCCTTTTCCCTAGGCTTCGGAAAGCCAGCCTCTCCCGCCTCATCCTGCTTTGGCAGCAGCAACAAGTGCTTCGGAGCTTACGGGACAGGTGGCCAATTTGCCTTTGCGGACCCGGATGCTGAGCTGGCCTACGCCTACTGCACGAACCGCCTCGGCACGCACCTTTGCGACCCAAGGGACTTGGCCTTGCGCCAGGCCGTTTACTCCAACCTCGCGCGGCTAGGCCACCCGTCCCGAGAGCAGCCCCCGGACAAGACGCTTGAGAAGCATCTGAAGGCAAGGGCGGGAGCTGAAAGTGGGACTTCGTCGTGATGATTGCAAGGCTGAGCTTGCATGCTCGTTGAAGCTTAGCGAAGGAAATATGCCTGCCATGCTCGAGCAACTCAGGTCCACAAATAAACAGGACACCTTCCTGAGCCGTAGTTTATTTGCCGTAGTTGACATTGAGGTAAGAGAAAGGCGTTTCGGATTCAGACTTTAGGATACAGGATTTGGAGTTCTGGCAGGCCGGGACAGCGAAAGAGACGACCTGCTTTGATTGGTTTCTGCGACTCTTTGGCGGCTTCTTCCTGTGGCTTGGCTAGTCGTTCGCACGTCTGGAGGACTGAAAGGTTTAGGGCTTAGGGTTTAGGGTTTAGGGTAGTCGGAGTTCTGTGAAAGTGGTAAGGTAGTCTGCTCACAGTATCATCCAGTCGCCCCGTCAGGATACTAGCGTCGCAAGCAATGAGTTCTTTTTGCAGAGAGCTTCTGGCGTTGTCACTTGGGCATGCCGGCAGAAACCCTAAACCCTAAACCCTAAACCCTAAACCCTAAACCCTAAACCCTCAACCCTAAACCCCAAACCCTAAACAGCATCCTTCAGAAGACTTGTGCGGCACCTCTTGCACGAAGAACCTCGCGGAGCCTCGTGACGGTCCGTGCTACTTCTGCAATACTGTTGATGGACAAAATCCTGCATGACCCAAATATAGTATGGTACCATAAATCCCATAGTTTAGGTATATAAGGTCATGCAGGATTTTGTCCATCAGCAGTACTTTTAAGCCGAGGTTTTTAACGCAATGCGCTTAGAGACAGGAAGAAGGACTGAACAAAAACAGGACTGCAAGGAATGTGCAGTTGGCCAAAGCGCACTCAATGGATTTTAGGTTGAGGCTCCAGAATATCCCGTCCCTGGAACTACGCCCACTCGTAGACTCACCCTCCATTTTCACCACACCAGACTTTGCAAGCCTCATGATGATGCCACAAACCCTAAACCCTAAAACCTAAACCCTAAGCCTATTCAGTAAGAACCCTAAACCCTAAACCCTATCAGTAAGAACCCAAACCTAAACCCTGAAACCCTATCCTTGACTTGATTGCAACGGTGCAGTCAGCACCAAGTCCCAAAACCTCCAGAGCTCCAAGGCCTAAAGCCTCAAGTCCCCTACACCCTAAACCTTAAATCCTAACCCCAATGTCCTGAACCAGAAATCCTTAAAAAGCTAGTCCTGAACCCTAACCCTATAGGCCCGAAGCCGCAACCCTACTCCCCATGAAGCGCTGGCAAACTACTGAAACCGCAGCCCTTTGGCTTTGCCCTAAACCCTAAACCCTAAACCCTAATCCGTAAACCCTAAACCTAAACCCAAGGAAGCTGCAATCCGAACGCCCTACGCAGGGAGCCCAAGCCCCCATACAGCCCCCTTATTCAATTGTGTGGTGTAGGGTTTAGGGTTTAGGGTTCATATTCAATTATGGGGTTTAGGGTTTAGGGTCTAGGGATTATGGTTCAAAGAGTGCTGCTTAGTTAAGGGTCCCTGGGGCCTTGAAGTAGCTTGAAGCTGCACACGCGACAGCCCACCACAAATACACGAATCGCAAGAATGCTGAGCCCTTAGCCGTGAATCGTAATAACAGCCTTTAAGCCCTAAGCCCTAAGTCCTAAACTCTAAATCCTGAAACTTACTGGACTCTAGATTGTAAGCCCTAGCCCGTGCAAGGGAACGCGAAGCTCTGAAGCAAGATCGTCCTCACTTGTCAGGCTTGGGCGCTGCGAAAGACATGGACGTCTTCAGCTTCGATTTCGAGGCCTCGAACCCCTTCCGCGAAGCTTCTGGGTTGTGTGAGGCTCGTGTTGCGGGTTTGTGATTTGGGTAAAGGTTGCGGAGGGGTAGTGTCGTTGCGGCCAGAGTCATCCACATCTTCGCCGTCCCGGCTGTGGTGTTGATGATGCCTCTTGTTGAGTTCTTGTTGATGATATCGGCAATGATGATGATGTTGATGATGATGGCGATTGCCACAAAGATCATCGTGATGTTTATGATGACGAGGGTGGCGACGACCATGATGATGATGATGCTGATGATGATGATGATGATCATGATGATGATGATGGTGATCATTTGTCATGTTGCGTTTGGAGAAAGGCAGCAAGGTCCCGCTCGTGCTGCGACCCCAAACCCTGCACGCTAAGGTATTTGCAAACCTTAGACTCCCCGTACCTTCACCTCAAATTGCCCCGAACCCTAAACCCTAAACCTTAAACCCCGAACCCTAAACCCTAAACCCTAAACCTTAGACTCCCCCGTACCTTAATCCCTCAAGATGGCAACCCCTGGGTCCAAAGCTCAATGGCTTTGAGCCTTCACCGTAAACAGTATGCACCCTCAACCCTAAACCCTAAACCCCAAGCCCGAAACCCGGTCATTACGCCTCCAGCAGTTATGTCATCGAGACCCAAAAGAAGCCTCATCACCAAACCCACTTAGGGCCCAGATTTCTTGAGACCCCGGTCGATCTTGAGACCTCTTGCACCTTTTAAACCATAAACCCTAAATCCTAAGCCTTGAAAGTCGAAACTCCTAAACCCTAAGATTCTAGACCCTTGAACCCCAAACCCTCATCAACCCTAAACCCTAAACCCCCTAAACCCCTAACGCCAAGTCCTAAACCCTGAACCCTAAACCCTAAATCCTTAGCCCTAAACCCGCGACCAGGAGGATATCGAAGCCAAGGATGCCGATCGCGAGGAGAGCCTACGAGCCTCTTGACGAGGGCACTTTTAAGGGTTTAGGGTTTAGGGTTTTGGGTTTAGGGTTTAGGGTTTAGGCTTCTAAGGGTAATATAGGGGCCGTCATATTGACCTCTACTATTTTTTGGGGGCTCCCTCTTATAATTTGAGGATAATATGCCCCAAAACCCTATTCTGAGTATTAAGGCCCCAATATTAAGGGTTTTTTGCCCAGGGCTTTGGGCATCTTAAACTGGGTTAAGGGTTTAGGGATTTATATGAGGATTATTGGGGTTTAGGGTTTTATTTAGGGTTTGTTCGGGCTTAGGGTGTTTTGAATAAGGTTTAGGGTTTCAAGGGCTTCTAGGGCTTGTTTGCTTTCGGAATTCAGGGTTTCACGGCTTTAGGTTCGGGTTTGGAGTTCGAGGGTGTCTGTGTTTGAACTGGGTCCCTTTTGGAGTCCTTTTCAAAAGGGTGCCATAATATATTGGGGACCTAGAAAGGACCCTAGTTTAGAGAGCTACCCAAATCTTAACCTGCTGGAAGCTTCCAAGGAACTCGATGCTGGCCGGAAAAGCCTTAAACCCTAAACCCTGAACCCTAAACCCTAGACCCAAGAAAACCGGAAAAAAGAACAAGGCTTCGGCTGTTCGCTGCTGAGGCTTCCCCCTGACCCATCTCCAACTAAGGTACACTTGCCACGAGGGTTCACTGTAAGGTTTAGGGTTTAGGGTTCAAGGGTTTAGGGGTTTAGGGTTTAGGGGTTTAGGGTTTAGGGTTTGGGGTTTACGACCCAAACCCTAAACCCGAGACCCTAAATCATGAGGTTACGAGCATAGAGATATCTCAAGGCTGACCCGAAACCCGACAACCGTCTGCCTCCACCTTGCTCTACCGAATCCCAACCCACGCCGCTTTACGCAAGTCACAACCCTAAACCCCAAAACCCCAAATCTTATACCTAGACCCAAAACCATCCAAAACCCTAGTTCTTAAACCCTAAACCCTAAATCTCAAACCCTAAACTCTAGATCTTAAGCCCTAAACCCTAAAGCTTAAACCCTGACCCAAAACTCTAAATTCTTGACCTTGCAGCCGGTTGACTAAGGCTGAAGGCTTGACCTCTGCCGAAGGGGCTCTGAATCGAGGACCCCCGCAGAGCGGTGGTCGGAAGGATGGAGTTCAGATTCTTTTGGGGCTTGAAGGGATTTAAGGGGTTTTTTGGTTTTGAAGGATTCAAGAGTTTGGTTTTTGTGGGTTTCGAGGATGTAAAGGGTTAAAGGTTCAGGGCACGTGTAGGGTTTTGGAGCTTTCAAGGCTGACTTGGCCGTAGGTTTCGCTCAGATCGGGTTCGGGTGCAGCGTGGAGGCTGTTTGGGGCCAAACCCTGAAACCCGAAAACGGTTCGACGGTGGAAGAGAGCCCCTAAATCCCCGCAGCTTGCAACCCAAACTCAAGCTTTTTGTTCCAGCTGTCATCCTCTCCACTTCTGTGGACACTTACCCCTAAACCCTAAACCCTAAACCTTAAACCTTAAACCCTAAATTCTTTCAGTCTCCAACGATGAAAAGCCTCACGCTTCGAACCGTACATGCTCTGAAGCTCCAAACCGGGCGACCTCTGAAACTCCCGTCCTAAGGTCTGGTTTTAGGGTTTAGGGTTTGGGGTTTGGGGTTTAGGGTTTTAGGGTTTAGGGTTTAGGGTTTATGGGTATTTCAAGCTTTCAATCGTTTCAATATTAACAAGTGCCATCTTTCCAACGCGAGCCCTGCAAACTTTCAATTTCGAACTGTTCGAAGGTCAAACCCTAAACCCTAAACCCTAAATCCAGCCCCCTAAACCCTAAACTTGACTAAGCCCTAAGCCCTCATATGCTTGAACCCTAAACCCTGCACCTTCATATCCTTAAACCCTGAACCTTTCGGAACCCTAAGCCTTCATATCCTTGAGCCCTAAGCCCTCAAGCCCTAATTTCTAAGCCTTAAGCCTGCATATCCTCACACCCTATCCCCTAAACCGTCATATCCCGAAGCCCGAACCCCCTAAATCCTAAACCCTAAACCCTACACGCCAAACTCTAAACTCAAGACAGGAACCCTAAATCATAGATTCCGCAGTAGTACCCCTTTGCCCTTTTATATGGCTCCCTTATGAAAAGCCTGTATCACAGGAAAAAGGGCACCCTTATTATCTAGGGGTCACTCAGGAACCTCCTTAAGCCCCAAGCCCTAAACTCCCGTGGCCCTAAACCCGAAACTCGAAATGCTAAAGGCAGGAACCCGAAGCCTTAAACTCTAAAGACATGAAGGTCTTATGTTTGGGGCCCTAAAACCCTAAACCCTAAACCCTGAACCCCTGAACCCCTAAACCCTGAACCCTAAACCCTAACCCTAAAGCCCTCAACCCTGAACCCGATCGCAGGCTCGCGAACGGTTTGCCGCCATTGGCTGAAGAACCTCTGCATGAAAGGCAAGGTGCTCGGGTTCATCACGGTTTAGGCCTTTTTCGGCTTTGAGGAAAATGAGGGCTTAGGCTTTAAGGAAATGAGGATGTTTAGGCTTTAGGGAAATGAGGGTTTAGGCTTTAAGGGAACGTGGGCTTAGGCTTTAAGGAAATGAGGGTTTAGCGTTTAAAGAAAGGAGGGTTTAGGCTTTAAGGAAATGTGGGCTTAGGCTTTAAGGAAATGAGGGTTGAAGCTTTAAGCAAAGGAAGGTTCAGGGTTCAGGGTTTAAGGGGATAAGGAGGGTTTCGGGTTTCGGGTTAATGTAGGGGTGAAAGGCTGGCTCAGTCATGTAGAGGCCTCAATGATGAGAAAAGGGCTTTGGGGTTTAGGGTTTAGGGTTTAGGGTTTAGGGTCTAGGGTTATATTATATTATGAAACTTTCTTGTTATACGACAATTGTGTCATGGAGCCCTATAGGGGATAATGTTATCAAGTACAAAGTTCTGTTTTTGGCCTCACCGTGTCGGCCAGACTGCCGAATCCTGAAACTCCCACTAGCACCAAGTGTTGTTCATACGAACCAAAACCTAAACCCTAAACCCATAAGCTTGGCCCCTGAAAACCCTGGAAGCCATGAACCATGAACCCAAATCATACCAAGGATGCCTAGAAGCTTATCAGTGCAAGTTTCTGCACCTTGAGGCCGCAGCGGTAGGACGGCACTGAAGAGCCGTCACGTTCAAGCTAAATACATGTACGTCTCTGTGTACGTATATTTGTATGTATGTTTATATGTATATGTCTATGTCTGTGTATGTGTAGGTGTCTATGTATATGTACATGTATATGCACATGTATATGTATATGTGTATGTATGTGTAGATGTATATGTCTTTATGTACGTATGTGTATACGTGTGTATGTAGGGGGTTAGAACAGCATCCTGCATGAAAGGCCGTGGTATTGTTTCCAACCGGAACAGCAGCTCAGGTGACAAGTGCGATTACTTGCACCAGTTCGACTTGAATCGCATGCCGGAGTGCTTGTTCTTTCTAAAGGCCCAATTGGGGTTTTAGGGTTCACGATTTACAAAATTCAGGGTCTATTGTTTCAGGCTTTAGGGTATGGCGTTTAGGTGGCAGAGTCCAGACAGGGTGTTCGGAAGGGGATTCGGAGTTGAAGGAGGTGGCAGCTGTGTGACCATGTTGAACTTTCATATTGGTACTGGACTGATCATGAAGCAAGCCCTAAACCCTAAACCTTAAACCGTCTTATATCTTCTGAAAGCAAATGCCCATGTGACACAGGGAATCTTCATTGCTATTGATGCGAAGGCGTTCCGAATCTTTTCTCATCTTGGTCATGCGTTCTCATGGCTGAAGTTTCTGCTTGCACGACCCTTCAAAATCACTATTCGCTATGCCCCGCCCCTCCCAACAGCCAACCCTCAAACCTGGGTCCTCAAGTCCGCAATCTTGAAGCCTAATATCCCAAACTAACTTTTCAACCTAAATCCCAAAGAGCCGAGATCCAAAATCCCACACCCTAGAACCCCAAACGCTTAAGATTCTCGTTCTTTTTAAGCCGACAGCCTCTATCTTGAAGAGCCTCACAAGTTGATACGAAGGTATAAACATAAAGCTCTAAATCCTTAATGTAGCTTCCAGAAAGCCTTTAACTCTGAACCTGGCCTTCGTTGTCGGAATGGGGGTGTTTGGGTATAGTAATTTGACTGCAACCAGAGAAAGGAACCCTTAGATTGGAATGATATTGGTAATGACTCCGGCCTTTACGCCCAAGCCTAGACCCTAAGCCCTGCTTCGGAACCTTTCGACACCAAGTCCTAACCCGTGAAACCCTAAACCCTGAACCCCCAAAACCCCAAACCCTAAACCCCCAAACCCAAAACCCTAATCCCCGAAACCTAAACCCCAAAACCCTAAACCCTAAACCCAGAAACTCTAAACCCCAAAACCCTAATCCCTAAACCCTAAACTTTAAACCTTAAAGCCTCCTTCAGACCGGGAAGTGCTACGACCCGGACTGCCTCTTCAAGCATGTGGCCGCCAGCGAGTTGGGAGACCCAAGACAGATCTCCTTGTCCGTTTTGCAGCAGAGGTTTGTGCTTAGTTACGGGCTCTTATTTTTTCGTAGTAATGTGAAAGGCCTTTTATTTCCCTGGCTTTGGGGAAGTAAGCGTAGGGATTTAGGGTTTAGGATCTTAGGATCTTGGGGTTATAGGCAGGGTTTATGGCTGATGGTTGTTCTTTGGGGTTTAGGGCTCGGGGTGTAGCGCTGTGGGTTTTGTGTTTAGACATTAGAAGGGTTGCTTGCGAGAGGTGCTACAACGTTCTCTATTGGAGTTTCATTTAGGTTGAGGGGGTTTGGGTTGAGGGATATTGGGGTATGGAGGTGTAGTACTTATAGCAATAGCAGTAATGATACTGGTAATATTAGTAGTAGTAGTAGTAGTAGTAGTAGTAGTAGTAGTAGCAGTAGTAGAGGAGTGTGGGACGCCCTGGGGGCCCGTGTTTTTCGGTGCTTTGGCTATGTAGGCTCCTTCGTCCTTTTCTGTAGCAGTAATTATGACGGCTTGGCTTCAGAAAGAAGCGGCAGAAACGAAGAGCGGAATCGGCAAAGCTGTCCTCAGTTTTGATCTTTGGATTTTCAGCCGGGGGTTGAAAAAAGGTTTAGTGTTCAGTGTCTTGAGGTGAATGGGATCTGATATACAAGCCTGAATATTTGCCAGTATTATTTTAGGGATTCCTTATTATAAGTATGGTATAATATACCCCAAAACCCTGCTCTTATTTTTTAAGGCACCGATGTTACCGGTGCACCCGGCATTCAATTTTTCGGAGCATCATCTTTTGAACCAGCGAACACTGTAGGACGAGGTCTGTCTTCGAAAGCATGAACCCTTAAGCCCTACACCTGTAAACTTACAAACCTTGCGCCCTAGTCCCTATCACGAGACCCTACGCACAATTTGGGGCCCATTCTTCTTGGGAGGCGGCAGGAATGCCCCAGATATCGCGCGGGACCCCAGCGCGGAGTGTGAGAATGTGAAGCTGCGGACTTTCGCCAGTCCTGTGCAGAGTGCAGCTCTCAGGCCCTATGGGGACTGATTAAGGGTTTAGGGTTAAGGGTTTAGACAAAAAAGCCCTAAACTCCAAACCCCAAGCCCTAAACCCTAAACCCTATACCCCTAGCCTTCGTTTCGGAGAGCAAGAATAGAGACAGGTATGGGCTTCTGCAAATACGGCCCGTTGTGCCGAATGTCGTCGGGCTCTCAGCTCCCCTGGTGGAGGCTTTCGAGTTCAGGTTCTTGGGGGTTAAGGGCTCTGGGTTTTGGGCTTTAGGCTTTAGGGGCTTGGGGTTTAGGGCTTTGGGTTTGTGGGGTTTAAGGGCTCTGGGTTTTGGGCTTTGGGCTTTAGGGGCTTTGGGTTTAGGGCTTTGGGTTTAAGGTTTTGGATTTGGGGTTTAGGGTTTAGGGTTTAGGGTTTGGGCTGTAGGGGCTTGGGCTGTGGGTTTAAGATTTAGGGTGTGGGGTTTTAGGGATCTGGGTTTTGGGCTTTGGGCTTTAGGGGCCTTGGGTTTAGGGCTTTGGGTTTAAGGTTTAGGGTGTAATCGTGCTCCCACTGCAAGTTAGTGCTTTAGAAAGGCCCAGCTGGTGGAAACAGGGGGCTCAAAGAAAGCCCTAGCAAACCCTAAACCCTAAACCCTAAACCCCAAACCCCAAACCCTAAACCCTAAACCCCGAACCCCAAACCCTCAACCCTAAACCCTAAACCCTAAACCCCAAATGCAACGAAACCACCGTAAACCTCACTAGCGCTCCCTTCGAGCTCCCAAGCTTGGGTAGGACTCCGATACCCCTGAAGCCTCGAGTCTTGGTTGAAGCTGAAGTCTCCAAACCCTTGAGGGTTTAGGGTTTGGGGTTGAGGCTTTAGGGGTTAGGCTTGAGGGTTTAGGCTTGAGGGTTTAGGGTTTAGGCTTGAGGGTTTAGGGTTTAGGGTTTAGGGTTGAGGGTTTAGGGTTTAGGGTTGAGGGTTTAAGGTTTAGCCTTAAACCCTAAGCCCTAAACCCTGCGTCCTGTAACCCCCAAAGTGCCCCCCCCCCCCCAGGCACGAGAGGCTGTCCTTGCCTCAGTTGGTCCAAGAAGGGCGTCTCCCGACATGCCAAGCTTCTTGCAGGGGACCCTAATATAGTACCCTAAATAGTAGGATCCTTATTATAAGGACCCCAAAAGAAGGTACCCCTAATTCTTGGAAACTACCGACATGCGAAACTTGCTGCGATGGTGTTTGAGGACCGAGCTTAGCGTCACAGCGTGCAGCTCTAGTGTTCAGTAGTATCATTTTTTACTTTTTTTGGGTATTGGTTCCCAATATAATATAACTAACCCAAAAAAGCATATACTTTTTCCCAGTTGGCTACTGAACAGCTTAGTTACAGTATGTGTCGAAGGTTTAGAGGCCTACACTTGAATTGAAGGCTTCAGCAGGCTCTGGACAACTCGTCGTGGGACAGAACTAGAACTATGACTCTGACATCGCACTCGATATTGTTTTGGTGGTTGCGGTGCTGGCGCTGGCTGCTGGCTGCTGGCTGCTGCTGCTGCTGCTGCCGATGGTGCCGCCGATGGTGATTATGAGGCAGACGGTGTGATGATAACGGTGCTGCTGATTATGATGGTGATGGCGACAAGGATGATGACAATGACGCTGATGGTTGTAATGACAGTGATGATGATTAACATGATGATCATCTGATGGTGATGGCAATCGGGGTGGTGATGATGATTATGATGATAGTTGCCGTGACATTGTTGACGGCGATGACTGATGCTGGTGATGAGGATTAACCGTGATGATGGTTTCACTGATTCACTGATACCATCCTTGGAAAACCGGCTGCTACCAAAGACCGGCAAGCGGAGACCATGCCAAGGTGCTTGCTCCAAATCCCCTCAAGCCCGACTTCCCAAACCTACAGGGGTTTCTAAGCCTCATTTTCTCGGTTTAAGCAGCAAGGGCCGCAAAATTCATCCTCCAAATTCAAAAACTCTCTAAATCCTTCAACCCCTTCTCGAAACACTGCGACCCTTAACTCTAAACCCCAAACCCATATATAGAGTACCTGCAAGGCCTTCAGAACCCCGGATAGAGCCTTTATAAGCACCCTTGTGAGTTAAGCCCTCAGGCCCAAGGATAAGATGCCGGATGTGCCGGGGCCTTTTTCAAGGCCCTTGGAGGTCCGAGGGCTCCGAGACGTTCGGGAACTGGTTTTGAGGGTTCAGCACAGCCTTTGCACGGTTTCTGCAGAGGCTTCTGCAAGGGCAGCAGAAGGGTTCCATGATGGTAGATTTACGGATTATCTTCTTCGATTCTTCGATGTTTTGCTGCAGATCCTCGCTTGTCTGTCGAAGTCCAACCTGCTTACACTTGGACACTTGAGTCTTTGCAACTGTCTAGGGTTTCGGGTTCGAAATTGGGGCTGAGGGTCGTGGACGAGGTAACCAGCCCAACTGTCCCTATAAGATCGAAAAATGAAAGAAGAGAGGTCTGAGCACTCGACACTCTTGGAAATCGAAGCTCGAACCCCTCCAATAAATAACGGCCATGATGATGTCAGTGACCGTCTTGAGGACCAGGCCCAATGAATATGTGTACTCATCTCATGATATCAAGGTTTAAGACTTAAATCCTCACAACAGAGTCATCGTCATCGTCGTCATCCTCTTCCCCTGTCAACTTCAAATCGTCGAAGCAGAGCCGGGACTAGTAGAAACCCACCAGCCTAGGTTGCCGGACTGGTTTTTGCAGCCACTGCTCAAGAATGCGCTGGAGTCTTGGGTGTGCCCACAGGCGGTTTCGGTTTTTGGGTTTAGGGTATTGTAGGGCCGGTCTTCGGCGACCTTTGTTGCAAATGAACTTGCTGCATCGGTTGCACTGCGTGCGCCGTTGGTGATTGCGTAGGTTCCGCGCAGATGCTGACAAGATTCAGGTTGTGCTCAGCATCGATGTTGGAATTTCTGAGTCTCGTTCGTCATGATCACATCTATGATCTTGAGCTGACGAAGAGCGTCCTCTCTACCCAAACCCTCAAACCTAAAGCAATGCGCAAGTACAGACTACTGTTGCTGCAACTGCTCCTGCAGCTCCTTCTCCTGGTCCTGCTGCTGCTGCAGCTGCTGCTCCTGCAGCTCCTGCTCCACTACTGCTGCTGCTGCTGCTGCTGCTGCTGCTTCTGCCACCGCTACTGCTGCTGCTACTGCTACTGCTGCTGCTACTGCTGCTGCTACTGCTACTGCTGCTGCTACTGCTACTGTTGCTGCTACTGCAGCTGCTGCTGTTTCTGCTGCTACTGCTGCTGCTGCTGCTGCTACTACTACTTCTTGTACTACTACTACTACTACTACTACTACTACTACTACTACTACTACTACTAGTACTACGTCTACTGCTATTACTGCGACTGCCTCTGCCACTGCTTTGCTCTGTCGCCATTGCTACTGCAACGACGACACCGTGACCTCTCACTTCATATCCATAAATTCAAGACTAGACCATGCATAATGCCAGTGACAGTACGGACGTTACGGAAGCAACATTGTTTCTATTCGCATAATGACTGTCACAGCTTTTATCATTCTGTTTATGACATGTGTCAATGTTGCTGCTACTGTCACCATCATCATCGTCATTATCATCCCCTCATCGTCAACAACATCATCGTCAACATAATCGTTAAAGTGAACAACATGAACATTGCCATCATGGTCATCATCATCGTCATCATCGCAGCCATCATCGTCATTGTCATCATGACCATGACCATCTCGGTCTGAGGCACCTCTTGCCCAAAGCGGCGGACGTCAAGCTGTCGTCTTTCGAGTTCCGGAGGCAGCAGTCGAAGCTCGACTTAGGATTTAGAGGGTTTAGGGAGTGTAAGCTTTAGTACAAGCATATTGGTTGGGTACTGCCCCCACTCAGTAACAGTTGGATAATATTTGTATTATGGATATATTAGGCCCTTAATAATAGCCCTATTATAGACTGTTACTGTATGCGGGCAGTACCCAACATATTGGTTCATGCCCGACCCTAATCCCTAAATTCAAGCGGTCTGCAGGACACCGGACATCTCTTTCACAGCCAGAGCCTGGGCCTGCCTGGTGTTTCGCGCCTTGGGGCTTCTATAGGGGCTCAAGGGTTTAGGGTTTAGGGGTTCAGGGGCTAGGGGTTCAGGGGCTAGGGGTTCATGAATTTAGGTTAGGCTTAGGGCTTATGGCAGCAGCGCAAAGAGAAGCGCATACCAAGATGAACCACACGACACAGTCAGCCCTGAACACCCATCGCTTTGGTCCTGGATCAATACCTAAACCAAACCTCGAACTAGGAGAAGGAGGATGGTGCCGACGCCGAAAGCCCTGGCCCCCAGGCTCCTCCTCTCTATGAATTACGAGCAGACAGGGGAAAGAGCCCCCAAAAAGCAAGACACACACCCTAACCCCTGAATCCCTAATGGACTCCCTGGGCCTCCATTACAAATCCGACTCCCAGCCCCTGTAGGAACCCTGAAAGAAGCCCTCAAAGTGGGCCTGCTAGAGCCCGAAAGCCCGCAACGACAATGGATGCAACGTGGACCTTACGGCCCATCCCTAAACCCGAAAGCCCCACACCATTAGTAGTACCCTGATAGATCCCTTATAAGAGCCCTCATAGTTCCTCTAAAGTAGTATCCTTAGAGCTCCCTTCTAGGAACCCTCGTAGTTTCTTTATAAAGGAACCCCATCGAACCCCTAAAGCCCTGAATCCTGAACCCTAAACCCTAAACCCTAAACCCTAAACCCTCCGCAACGCCGTGAATCCCTGCACTGCAACCACTGAACACCCTGGAGCCCTGCATCCATGAGGCCCTCGAGGCCTCATCCCTTAGTTTCGCAGATTTCCCGGAAAGCCTTAACCCCTAAACCCGAAACTCCTGAAGCCCTAAACCCTTAGCCTTTAAACCCTGAACCCCTAAACCCCAAAGCCCCAAAACCTAAACCCAAAGCCCCAAAACCCCCAAAATCCCAAAGCCCCAAAACCACTAAACCCAAACCCCTAAGACCCCAACCCTAAACCCTAAACCCTAAACCCTAAACCCTGAACCCCTGAACCCCTAAACCCTTAAACCCTTAAGCCCCTACAGTCCCAAGGCCTCCACCACAGCGGAGCTGGGAGCTATCCCGGGCCTCCCCCCGCCGGTGCAGGGCGCGCCCGGCTTCGGAGGGGGGGGGGTTTAGGGTTTAGGGCTTAGGGTTTAGGGTTTAGGGTTTAGGGTTTAGGGTTTAGGGTTTAGGGTTTAGGGTTTAGGGTTTGGGGGGCGGGGATGATTCTACGGGTTCGGGTTCTGCAAGGGGTTCTATGATAATGAGGGGTCTGTTAGGACCAAAATTCTTAAGAGGACGCAGTTCTTCTAAATTTTAAAAGCTAATTTTTGAGTTTAGGGCACAGAGAGGCGAGAATTAAGGACTCTTCGGGAGAGACCTAGTGAACATGTCGGTCCAGACTGCGGGGGCCTGCAAGAGGCCTATAGTCTCAAACATACGCAGTTCTCTAAACTAGGTTTCTTTTTAAGGGTCTTTTTTTAATTAAAGGTGCCGTACTAGATTTGGGATCAAAAAAAGGGACCCGGATGTAGAGAACTTAACTACCCATAAAGAAGCCGAAATGATGACCAGGAAGCCAAAATGATGACCAGTATTATTCCTTAGGGTTCCTCGTAAGAAGTGTACTATACTGTATACAACAACAGTCAAGCAGCTCTATTCCAATCATTACGGCCCCTATATCATTCCTTTTCCAACACTTCACTCACCTTCGGTTCGTGAGCTTCCTGCCCATTCATAGAGTCCCTGCTTCAGGGAAGTGCCGATTCTTCGCCAGGCGCCCAGTGCCCACAGCTTGCTCACGGAGCTGATTGCAGTAGCCTTTCGAATCCGGAGACTAATGTAAAGGAGGAGTGCTGGCACTTCTGTGGAAGCACCTTGATCCCTAAGTCCTAACCCCGAAACAGCATGACCTCTGCTTGCTTTTGTTTCGTGGTGCTCTTGGTTTCGGACCAATGCACCCAAGTGGTTCCGAGGTCATGCGCTCAGTGAATCTTGGCAGCATGAGATCCTAAATCCTAGAGTCTACGTAATGCAGGGGCCCTAATATATTGAACTGCGTATTGTAGGTTCTTTCTTTACGTTTTATGACGGGTTGGTAGGGCATTTTAGGAATAATTGCCAATATCATTCCGCGGGGGCCCTTAACATCTATTAGTGTTGCCCCAAAACTTGACATTAAATGTATGCGGCTACGGGCAATGTGCATTTTGCAGATCCGGTTTCTTCAAACCTAGAGCCCTATACCCCAATAGTCGAAACCTCCCTAAACCCTAAACCCTATACCCCTGCCGCTGAAATAGTCCAAACCTCAAGCCTGGGCCCTCGCTCCAAGGAAGCCACAGGCGCAAACTTCTCAGCTCAACCCCAAGGCCTAAACCCTCGCAGGCGCCGAAGCACGCGTCGCACATGCGCGCGCTGGCAAAAATCCCCAAACTGTAAACCTCTTAACCCTAGGTCCTAAGCCCTAAGCCCCAAAATGCAAAGCCAAACAAGCAGGAACCTCCGCAACCTGCAGATCTCCGCCTGCAAGGCGGGCTTACGGTGAGTTTGCCTGGAAGTCTGACGGCTTCCTTTAATGTGCGAACACCTGAGGAAGCTTCAGTGACCCTCTATAAGGGTTACTCTACGGGTTACTGTGAAGGGGTACTACAAGGGGCATGCTGAGCTAAGGTTTTACGACTTAGAAGGGCAGGAAGGTGCCCGTGACCTTCTCAAACCTCATGAGGCTTGACATGAAGAAAGCTGTTTCTGATGACTTGAACCACTCCTACGAGTAGGCGGACTACTCGACCCTTAAGCCGAAGTCACAGGTTCAAGACAAGGGATCCCTTCGAACTCCCATGGGTGTGTTGGTAGGATCAATCTCAGAGAGTTTCGTCGAGTTGGTCGACTCGTTTTGCCATGTTTTGCTTTTCAGTTTTGCCTTGCAAGAAGCAGGGCCGGAAAAGGAAATGCTTGGTAGACGAGCTGCGGTTAGCCGCACACTCGGCCAAGCTCGGTGCCGGTGCTGGCAGAGGAAGCAAGTCCGAAACGAAGCTGCGTGCACGCAAGTTTCTGAACTCTTCTGAACTCGTCCGGTCTTGTGTGAGCAGCGCATCCCTTGTGGGTCCTGCAGGATCAAGCCACGTGCCTTTCTAGCCGCTACAGCCTTGTCTCAGCTCAGCTCCAGCTAGATCTGAAACTAGGGGCCATGGGTGATGGGTACCGCGGGCCGCCTCCAAGTAGCTACATAGCCGATCTGTCAAAAAGGATGCTTCAGCCTTCAGTGCGCTGCATTCAAGAGAAGCCCCAAGACCAAGCCCCCCTGGTCCTCCTAGAAGAGGGCCAGACCTACCTCTGCAGCAAAGGCAGTAACCGAGAATCGAGGTCTAGGCTGAACGCGCTTGGCCTGCAGTGCTTACAGCTGCCCTGCATGATGTCTTGCAGCACCGTTAACCGAAGCCGTTTCGAAGAAATGAAATCTCCACAATCGCTGCATCATGGAGCATGCCTGCTTGATACGGGGCTGGCGCCAGCTCCTACCTACAAGCAGCAACTACAAAGTATGTCTACGCTGGTATGTACATGAATGTACGTATGTACGCATGCATGCGGTTATTCCTCTCGTAGTCGTTCATGCCGTTCTTGCTAACTCCATCTGCGCCTGCTAACGCCACTGCAGCTACTCCTCCGCCTTCTCCTTTTCCTCCTCCGCCTACGACCACGACGGCTGCTACTAGTATTATGCTGGTAGGGTTTAGGGTTTAGGGTTTAGTTCCCGATCACACGGTGCCAACTTGGTCGGATGCATTGCTGTTGACACACCCCAAACAGTAAATCCTACTGTACTTGCCTAACCCACCAGCCATCTCTTGTTTGCTGCTCCGGTGCGGTCGGGCTTCCTTGCTCTGGGTACGCTTCTAAACGTCTCGCTTTGGGTAATATAGGAAAGGTGTTTTTTTTTAAACTAGGGTTCCTTTTAGGAGTCCTAAAATATTGGGTTTATAGGGCCAGGATTTCTTGATAAGGTTCCTACAGTATTGCGGAGCTTTCCAACGAGAAGCGCAAGGGTTCTTCCGAAACACTTTAGTTTAGGATATGACCTAGCCGAGCTAGTATGACGAGGAGGGTCTGCGGGTTGAGGGTTTCGGGGAAGTACACAGGGATGGTGTTCTTAGGGCTTGAACCTCAAACCCCACGGCCCTCCTCCATCAAGCCTGAGTATTTAAGACAAGCAGGGTCGAGGGTTTAGGATTTTCGGGTCTTTAGAATTCCGGAATGGCATTGGCCTCAGCTCAGGTGCGTTTGTGGCTTCTGCAGGGATACATGGTTTCAGCTTGCCTTCAGAAGGTCTAGGGCCGGATTGTTTTCGGTTTAGGGTTTAGGGTTCAGGGCTTAGGGTTTGTTGCTTTAGGGCTTCAGGGCTTAGGGTTAAGTCGGGGCTTTAAGGTTTTACGGATTCGTGTGGGGTTCAAAGTTGCTTTACGTTGGCCAACATAGGCGATCGAGGCTTTTCCCATCACCGCGGCTCCAAATCCTACAACCTGCCGTTGGAATATTTAAGTGTCGTTCGTTGTGGCTTTGAATCTTTATGGCTTGAAGCCTAGACATAGCTTCGTGTCTGGGTTCTGCTACCGCAAGTACAGTGGGGCGTCTGAACATCCTTCCGTTCCGGGGCCGGGGGAGAGGAAGTTTATGACGGGAGCTTTCCCGACCCCCAGACCCGACACTCTTGCCCTAAGCCTTGGACCCAACACCCAAGACCCCGAACCCAATTTCCTAAAACCTAAACCCTGAATCCTAAAGCCGAACCCCATTGCTTTAAAGCCCAAAAACCCTAAACCCCTGAAGCCTAAACCCCAAACCCTAAACCCTCTACCCTAAACCTTATAGAAAGTTGCAGTGACAGGGGATCTGGGCCACTGGCAGCGGAAACACCTCAAAGCTCTGCCAGGCCAAGAAATGTGGAAGGGACTTGCTTAGGGGTTTAGGGTTTAGGGCTTGCTTAGGGTCCTAGGGTTGAGCTCGAATTTTGCAGCTCTCTTGGATTGCACTTTTGGGTCAAACTTGTGTTTAGTGGGTTTTCGGTTCTCAGGGTTCGGGTTTGGCGCAGGGGCATGTTGCTACACAGCGCACTCTGCAAAATCCATGCCAGGGATTTCGAGAAGTGGATCACGTCATCATGCAACTCGGCTGGCAGTTGAGGGTTTAGGGCCTTATCACATACCCTAAACCCTAAGCCCCAAACCCTAAACCCTAAACCCTAAACCCTAAACTCTACCCCACATCCCGAGTCCTTTTATGGGCTGGGATGGGCGTCTATATGGGACTGAGGAGGGTTTATCTTTTCTCTGTGGTTCAGGAGTTCAGACCACGAAGGTTCGGGGGTTCCTGCTTTATGGTTTAGGGCCGTTTAGGGTTTAGGGTTTCAGGGT